ATTGAAATCATTAGTTTCAGCAGAGTTTTGGTAAAATCTTTATGATTTTCCTTATAAAAGGTCATGTCATCTACAAAGACAATTCTATTTCTTTCTTTGGAATTTGGGTGCATTTTTTCCCTTGTTATTTTATCTAGGACTGCTAGAACTATAGTGAATAAAACTAGTAAAAGTGACCATCCTTGCCTTGTTCTTTATGTTACAAAATCTGATTGCATTTCACCTTTGAATATGCTAACAATTGGGCTTGATTATGTTGCAGTACATTCCTCTTATAATTTCTTGGAAATTTTTTATCATAAAAAGTACAACTTTGTCAAATGCTTTTTCTGTCTCTATTGAGATGATATAAATTTTATCCTTTATTCTAGTAATATGATGTGTCATATTTTTTGTTTGTATATGGTGAATACCTTGCATTTTGGGGCTAAATCTTCCTTACTCATGGGTTATGGATTATGGTCCATAAATAAGCGGTGGGGTTCAGTTTGCTGGTATTTTTTAAATGTTTTGCATGTGCATTCATTTTTTTGATATGTTCACTTTTAATTACGTCTATTGTAATTCTTTGTATGTCTATTTCATGAAGGTTCTTAATTGTATTAATTCTTTTTACCCTTGCTTACCTTTTGAAAAAAATTGCGATGTGTCAATTACAAAAAGTTTGAATTTTAGATGCTTTTAAATATTTCCGCTGGCCATTATATGTCTGAACATATGTCATATTCATACATGTTTGCTATTATTATGTCTTCTTAGTAGATTACTTTGTGGCTATTAAACATCCTTTTTGACATCCTGGGGTTTTTACCTTAAATTCTATTTCATCTAAGTGTAGTGTTATCGAATCATCATGTAATCATCTGACAATTTTTTTTAATAATTATACGATCAATAATTCTTTATTTCTTTTTTCTTCAAGTTTGTCTCTGGTAAATAATGAATAGCTATGTTTTATTTAACCAATCTAGTATCTCTGTCTTTTAAACAATATGAAAAACTACACAACTAGTGTAAATATGAATAGGTTTTATTAGTATTTTTATGTTTGTTTACCAAGTTTTTAAAGCTTTTTTGCTCTCTTAAAGTTAGATTCTATTTTCCAGCAGGTTCCCCTTCTGCTTTGATATTTTCATCTTTTGTTTTGTTTTACCCTGTGTACATTTTTAGTTCAAATGCAGAAAGTCACACTTTCTTAAAAAGAAGTCTTGAATACCCATATCTTATCTTTCTCCACAAGACAAGGACATTAATATTCTAGTTTTAGCCTGTGTACATTTTTTAGATTACACTTAGAAACTACTCTATGTTCTATCTTCTTCAAAAGGCAAGAAAGTTAGTATGCATTTGTTTCCATGTATAGTAGTCCTTTATTTTCCTCCAATTGCCACCATGTAGGTATAGAATTTTATTTATAAATTATTTGTTTAATACACATACAGATGCATGAATAGTTTCAAATTAGCAATACTTTGTCAATGATAGCTTTGTTCATCATATTCCTTGTTGATTACTTCTTTACAGCTTCAGTTTTCTTTTTACTAACATTATCTATCAATAATTCTTTCAAAGAAGGTAGGTGTAAAATTTCTGCCCGTGGATACTCTTAATTTGTGGGAGAAACTGAATGGCTGATTCATTCCACAGTCTCTAGCATGATTTGTCCCCACCCCTCCTTCTTCATCTTTTCTGCTAAGCCCAAATTGACTAATAGCTACTGAGGTCCTAACTCATACCTTATAATTCCCAAATTCTGTTCCACGGCTAATATGGCCTTAGCATTCCTCATACTTTCTGAGAACTGGAATAATGGACAACACTCAGAAGACAGCAGGATGCTGATTCACTTTCAGCAAACACGTAAATTCTTTATGCTGCCTGCTTCTCAGCATAACCACAGCTTGAAAGTGGTATCACGGTGTGATGACTTAAGATAACAGATTCTAGTTTTTCTTTTTCTTTCACTTATTTATCCTTCTTGCTAAATAACACTTTGGCTGAATATCACTTTCCTTGATGGTTCTGAATATTTTGTTCCCTTATTTCACGGCACACAGCTTTGCCAATGAGAAGCCTTTTTCAACAGTGATAGTTCCATGTATTTTGGGGCTGGCACTTTTCCCTGCTTCTGCAACTTCCTGATGGGATTGTGGCTTGCTGTTGTGGCTTCCTAAGCAGCTTCTTTTTAAGAATTTTCATCAATTCTGGTCTATCAGAAGTCCTTCTACTGTTCTTCAAAAATCCAAAAGTACTTAACAATTTCCTTGAAAATATGCTTTTACAAATCACTCAGAATAATTTTGTGTGAAAAGGAGATTTCAGTATGTACATACATTGAAGAAATTGTCTTATTTTTGTTTGTTTAGATGGGTTCATGTGAAGCATTTCTTTATTCTGAATTTTGGCATATTTGTTTCCTTTAGATTTAAAATAATGGAGCACAAAATGTGTTAAATGTCTTCCTTTCTCCTCTCCTTGTTAGTTCTGCCAGCTCTCTGTACATTTGCAGGTGCCCTGTAAGTGCTATGGACCTTTGTGGAGAGCATCTTGGGCTCCTGGGTAAGTTTTCCAATTGAGTTTCCTCCAGTGTGAGGCACTGATAAGAAATCAGACAGCAGGAGGAAAGTAAGGTTACTTGGGGTATTTATCTCCTCTCCTGTGCACTCTGTCTCATATTCCTATACTCCTTCAGCCTTGGGCTCTATCCACTCCTCAAGACAACATATTCTAGGCAGTCCTGCGCTTGCCCTGACGCGGCTTTCCTCACTTTCATTCTTCTGGTCTTTGATCCTTCTGGCCAGCAGTAACTCTCAAGAGTGCTATGCTACCATGAGAACCACATTTTTTTGCTGACTTCTCTGAGCCTTGTCCTACATTCACATCTTTATAATTCATCCTTTCGTTAAATTTGCCCCAAATCACTAAGTTCAGTATTGTTTGTTTTTTCCCTGGACACGAGTTTAAGAACAAAAGCAAACAGAAGAAAATGAAGCAATAAACAGGTAACTTAATTCTATAGCTTGGTCTTTTTGGTGTTTTGTAACAGAATAAAACAGTTAAGAAACAAAGTAGGTGAAGAAAACTTATTTTAGTTGAAGGAAACGTGCCACAGAGGGAAAGTAACAGTAAATGTTTTATGGGTACAAATGTACAGTTGAAGCTTTTCTCCATATTCTCCTTCCTGCTGCTGTAGATTTCTGGGTCTGGAGGGATAGAAATCTCACTGATGCATCTGTTTACACAGCACAGTGGGAGAGATTTACAGATGCTTAGAGCTGGAAAGGGCCATAGGGAGTAGCTCACGCAGCCACAGGCTGCTCCAAGCATGGCATAATTTACGAGCTATTCTTGGATTTAATTTGTGAGGCAAATATTTAAAAGCCATCCCACACTGCCACTTATTCACTGTGCCAATGCAAAAATTCTAATGATTAAAATATAGTACCCAGTTTCTCACTGGCATTTTGAAGAGTAGCTAACGATAACAGGTAGCATTCTCTGCTCAGTGTGTGTGAGTTTGTGTTCAAAGCTTCACGTATTTCAGCCTTACATGCATTATTCACTGAGCTTTCACACAAACACCATGCAGAGGGAGTGGGAGACTGTTTATGGGCAAAGAAAAGTTAAAGGACTTGCTTATTACAAGGTCATTAAATAAATAATAGAGCAATAATTCAAACCTGAGCAGTTTGATTCTGCATCATATGATATTATGTACCACACCATTCCTCTCCTTACCATGCACATGCAGACAACTGAGTAAATGTAAGATTTGGAAATACTGCTTTGTATCTAATGACAAACATATATGTTTTTCCAAGTTACTAAACACACTTTCAATGACTGCAACATATTATCGGATAAAATATTTATTTACTCAATTTCATTGTTAGATATTTAATTTGTTCTACTGTTTTCTCAATAATTCTTTTCCAGTCTTGACTCTCTCACATTATAATCTCTGACTTATAAATTTAAGTTTAATATTATCTGCAAAATAATAGAGAACTTTCCTCAAATTGAATGACTAGATATATAATTTTAGATATTAATAATTAATAAATGTTAAGTGCTGCTGTTTGAGGAGTGAGGCTATATATGATTTGGGCTTTCTCCATTTTGTTTACCATTATATACTTTTTAATATTTAAATTTTCTGTGTAATAAGCAAAACTAACTGGAGGTCTTTGTGAAGCAAACTACTGAATTCAAGATAAAAGCTAAATGATGCTTTGTCTCTTCTGTCTTCCAAATGGTTTCATTGATCAGCAACAGTCACCCGTACAGGCTGGATTGGTGGAGTTTAATGTTACTGAGCTGTGCTGTCCTGTACTGTTTTACCGCTCGTCAATATTTCACACTCTGTGCCTCGGGTAAATGATTCTACAGACACTTATAATTCCTTTCCCTTAAATAGATACACGAGACCCTCCCTCTTTTGCTTTGTATTTATTTCCAGTGCATTTATTCCTGGTGCTTGTACTAGGAGGGTTATTGGTATTAGCAATTCACAGGTAACAACTGTCTCTATCATTTTATGACCTTCTGAGAGTCTGATTTGATATTTTCCTCCTGGTGAGAATCATGCACTGGTGCATCACACTGTACTCATATGTCTGGATTTAAACAGGGCAGAAATGTTAGTATGCTATCATTTTTTCCTGACATGAAAATAAGTACTGAAATTCACCTTAATTCTGGCTATAATATGGAATCATGGACCAAAATTTAACCTTTACTCCATGGATTCTGAAATGCAAGCATTTTCTTCATAAATCATCTCATACCAAATGTTTTGCAAAAACCATATATGGGAGCATGTCATGTGTGTGTGTGTGTGTGTGTGTGTGTGTGAGAGAGAGAGAGAGAGAGAGAGAGATAAACACAGAAAGAGCAAAAGAGTTTTGCATTTCAAGTAAAACATCTTTTAACACATTTCATCAACTAAAAGAAGGGTTCCCAATTTGATATAAATATTAATCAGGAATATAATACAATCCTCAAGATAATTTCTTTTATTTAAAATGGTAACTATCACAACACATCATACAATGAATCAGGACTTTAGAATCACATTAAAACTTTAAAACATCTTTATATAGGTATGAAACATGAAACATGCTGCAGAGATACAAATACAGTCTCAGTGCATTTTTACCGTGAAAACCAACAAGAAACACAAATCTGCACATGAGGTTCTGCGCTTTCGGCAGAAGCTGTTGTGACTGTTTCAAATCTAGGATTTCTTCCTTCGGAGACCATGTTTCTTGGGAAATTACCATTTATTTCTACTTCAGAGGAAGTCATATTAGAATTATAACACATGTTCACAGCACGTATTGGCACAATATGAAAAATAAACACTTTTTCTGAGTTTTCAACTCATAATAATAATGATCATTTCTAAATAAATAAGTATTCCTCATAGTGCATGTTTTATTTTACCTTTAATTGCCCATTGACACAAATGAAGCTGAATAAATAACAATAGGTAGTTTATCAACGTCTTCTCTCATAGTCTTGCATTGCATTCCTTTCATAAGCCACTGAAAACAGAGGAGGCAGAGTGTGTGTTAAGAAGGTTCACCGAGTTCAACACCTGCAACAATGTATTATAACATCACAATGACTTTTTCCTTCTATTGAAAGCTCTGAGAATGTTATTTGTATATCTTTCCATCTTTCCTCCCTCTACCAGGGATCTTAGCCACAGAACCCTCAGTTTCTTTGGTTATCTATTGGATGTTTGCTGTCATGGAAGCAATGTATTATATTCCCTAACACATGGCAATATTGCTTTCACAAGCTTTCTTGAGCACCGCCAAACACTAGTGAATTATAGAAAGAATCATGTCTCAAGTAACCAGGAATATTAGGAGGATGAAAGTAAAGTGTGATACTTTTATTCTAGGACAGAGGTCAACAAACTGTAGGCCATGGGGCACATGTAGCCCACAGTTTCTTGTAAATACAGTTTTATTGGGACACAGACACCTTCACTTTGTGTTTGGGGTTTACAATGCTACATTTGAAAGGCTCATATGGTGATTATATGCTAAGAAAACCTAAAATATTTTCAATCTAGTTTTTTTTTCAGAAAAACTTTATTGATTTCTGTTCTAGTGGCACCTGATGGCTGGAGAGTGTTTTCCTCCCTTATGGGTACCTCCTGATTCAAGTCCATTCTGGAGAAAAAAAAAATCAATCTTGTTTTCCATAGGAAAGTCAACTGAACCCTCTAAGAACAGCATGGTTCAATTTGCACCTTACCACCCTAGTGACCTGTGAAAGATTAATTATTGTTTGCAGAGGCACTTAACATATAGCTGGTAAGTACTTTAAATACTTTGACACTTTGGATCAAAAAAATTCCCAAATTATGTCATCTTACATTATATTATATCACATATAATTTCAAAGGGATCTATAACCACAAAAGATCAGGGACTAGACTATTATAATCATTTAACTAAGGATATTTATCATCTTAGACAGGATTTCATACTCTTAAATTTACATTACTATAAAATTTCTAAAATTCAGTTTGCCCTACAGAACTTAAGTAGTTCTAATCTAAACATCTTCCTGGGCTAGAGAGGTTTGCTGAGAGAGAAGGTAAAGTAGGTAAAGACAGGGAAAAAAAAGTAGGTAAAGACAGCAGTTGTCACTTTTCTTACTGAACAGTGGTCTCTGGCATCCATTTATCCAGCTGTGAAGTGAGGTCAACAATAAACAATGTTTTGCATCAAATACGTGTTCTGTTCTGAGGTGGAACAGACTGGGCTCTGAAGTGGAAAGTTCTGAAGGAAGGAAAAGTTCATTTCCCAGTCTGATGTGTTTTTATTAGAGGGTGATGACTAAGACATTTTAGATAACAGTTTGTTCCTCAGAAGAGTGAGATGAATGCTAATTAAACTAACTATAGACAGATTGATCATTTAGCTGGACATGATACCTCCTTCCAGGAACACAATTTTTATTATCTAGTCCTTTAACCCTCTGAAAACATGTCAGTTTCTGTGTCTGAGCCGGTAAGTCTTTCTCTGTGAAAGGGTTACTATGTTATCAGTTTATTAAAATGGCCTGGGACTATGTAATGGTCAGAATGAGGAGGCTCTGTAATTAGACTATGATAACCCTGTCTCAACTGAATATACGACGTGGTCTCTTACTGACTAAGGTTTATATTTTTTCCTTTTGTGTTTTCTTAACTCAAATGGTAGAATAAAGATGAAATTACAGTGGTTCTATTATTACCTATAATTACATTATTACTTTATGCATGTTTCATCTATTCTAAACTGTATAATATCTGTGTTTGTGAAGTGAAGCATATTGTGAAAACTATATTAATTCTGGAGTTGAAGAGTTGTGACTAATGTAATTATTAAGAAAATCAGGTCTGGGGATATAGCTTAGTGGCATAAGTGTCTGCCTGGCAAGTGTAAGGTCCTGAGTTTGATTTCCAGTATAAAAAAAAGTAAAGAAAGAAAAAAAGGTCATAATTATGTGCAAACTAGTATGTGTAAAGTCAGAAATGCCTCTGTGGTTTAAATTTTCCTATCCAAAAGCTGGACTACAGTGCACGGTGATAAAAATTTTCATAAATTTTTCATTTCTTACACTGATAAATTCTTTTAAACTTAAACTTGAATATCCTTCAAATTACCGGTGAGAAATACAAAGACTGGGTCTAAATCTGGAAAGTGAAGAACCAATAAAAATTCTAGCATAATTACTTTTGCATGAATTTAGATAACTAAGAATTAAGCCAGCACATCTTGCAGGTTTTCCCGCAAGTGGAAATATTCTCAAGGACTATGGTAACTACTAATTATTAATTAGATGATTAGTATTTTAAACTATTTTTACGAGAGGTAAAATAAAGAGAATTGAAATAACTTTTCCAAGGACCCTAAACAAAGGGCTTGAATGTGCTTAATAAAAAGTCAGTTTTTATGAAAATTATCAAGGGGTTATTTAACCCTAAAAACAGTGCAACAAGTGAGATATGAAATAAGGGTTTTCAGACATTTACATGTGGCATCTATATAGAAGATGCAAAGGATCTAGAGAAAGGAATTATGTAGGTTTTATATACAGTCAAAGAGTTGTTGGAAATTAAAATGAGCTATGAGAATTGTAGCATCCCTCTCTCTAAGGGTTTTAGAGCCTGAACTGATTTATACCACTCCAGGATGATTTGCCTATGTTCCTTTTGGAAAGCATTGGAAGAGATCAGATCATCCGTCTTTTCCAACATCCATCAGGACATTTAGATTTTGAGCTTCAATAACATTGTAAAGAGCAAGTGATTTGTATGAAATTTTTGTTTTATTTTTCTCTCAGATGTATTTTTGACAGATGCAATGTTTTACATATCTTGCATATCTTGTTTTACATATCTTAGTCATAGAGGAAAATCTCTCATCTGTACCTGTACTGCCCCCCACCATGCCTAGCTCCTGCTGCTTCAGTAGGGCTGACTATGGCTTGTTGAACAGATCTTGGGAAAGTGTGTATTGTGTTAAGTGTACTGTATACTCTTGGGAAAGCATGTAGTGTATTATACCAGCCCTAGGATTCAGGGTAGGCAGGGGTGGATGGAACAGACACCGGTATAGCTGGTGGTCTAAAGGAAATGGACTGATGTTTTAGTGATATTAGCTTAATCAGCTATAAATCTATTCTTGGCTACAAGTGCTACAATTCAAATTTTTGTCACAAACTTTCATTTTAAGTCTATTACTGCTTTTTAATACTTTGAAGATCATGGCTTACATGATAATAGAAGTAGATTTGATGTACTATTTTCAGTTATGATTGTATACATACCAGAATTTAAAGCTCTTTTGCCCATTAGTCCAACAAAGGAATCTGTTTTATGCCCTGAAAAAATACATTTAGAGGTTTTAATATGTATTCATTGAGAAGAGGGCTGCCCCTTTATTGGGGCCTATTTCTGTCACACAGTGAGTCAAACCTGTGATAGCACACAGATGGGCAGTATGAATAGATGGACTCTGGACTTGCTCAACTCAGACTCATTACCTTGGAATGTGAACTAATGATGCTTCAGTTCCATAATTCTGCCATTTTCCCTACCTAAGAGATGGTTCACTTAGATGAATTTAGACTCCCATTTGATTTGGGGATAAAACAAATTGCATCTCCACTTATCTTTACCTTTAGTGTGAATTCTCTGCATAGTTATTCATGCATTCCACTTAACTGATTTATGGACACTCTTCAAAATGATGTTGCTATGGGATCCAGCTAACTAAGATAGTTTAGTGTAGTGTGGTGGGCATGGGGGAGGAGGATAGAGTTGAATGTACAAATTCATACTCCTGAAAATTTAAAACTAACAACTTACTAGTATTAAAAGATCTTTTTAAAAGCATAATTTTTAGTAAGTTTATTCATAAATTACAGTTTATTCATAATAAGTATTCATTTAAGCACATTTGAGGTACCAGTTTCCTATCTTATGCTACAAATATTAGTTTCTAAATTATGACTGAAATTAAGATAATAATGTAAAATAGTATTTAATATAATTAATAGCATAAATGTCAAAATTATTTTGAACTTACTTTTGTGAGAGATCTGGCCATGTCCTGGAATAAAGAAAGATAAAATTAATGAATGCATATAGATTTGTTTTAAAGATGGTATAATTCTGTTTTTTAAGAGAGAATAATATAATCGATTGATTTAAACAATGTAATATTTTCTGTTTTGGCACTATCTGGAAGAATATAGTAGAATAATAAATTCTAACAAAATTATTGATAAACCTGAATATTTTAGTAGACAAAAGGAGTATTTATGAAGTGTCTTCTATGAACCATAGATTCAAATCCAGAACTATTGGGAGTCTTGCAGCTTGTATTAACATCAGGCTATACTGTACCATAGAATATTTTCAAGGCTGGGGCGGTGGGAGAAACAAATCTATCTCTTAAACAGGCATAAATAAGATCTTGTTTTACAGCTCATAGAAGATTTTCTTCACTTTCCTACATATGCATTCATAATGGTAAAATAAAGATTGATAGGAATGATTACCATAAAGAGCCTTTAACAGGGCCACGTGCTTTTCAATTGAGGAATCTGACAAGAGACAATTGACATTAACTATTCACGCGTTCCACTGACGGCGGCGCAGTGAACTCAGGGAAACTGAGTATTTGGACAAGGGGCAGCTAAACCTAAATCCACTCCAGAGAATGCTGGAAAATCAGTTTTCAGGCATACGCGGACCTCAGAGTACTACCTCTGGAGGCCCGTGCTTTCCCCTTCTTTGCGGTTTGGATTTGTGGTCAAGGCAGTGTCTAACTAAGGCTGGTTTCTATTCGGGTACTTTCTTACTGTGAAGCTTGTAACAGGGGTCTGGTCCTCCCTGGGGGGCGGAGGGGGGGAGTCATGCGTTAGTGAGGCTTGGACTGGAGTCTCAGTCTGGGAGTTAGGACCCTGAATTCACGGTGGATATCTCTACCCCAAAGAGGAAGAAACACAGGTGTGTGCTCCAGAAACCAGCAAGCAGACGGGGCGAGTGTCCGCTCCCAGAGACCAACACACGTTTGCTAGTCTCACCAGCTTCCCGTTTGCCCATTAGTCCAAAGAATTGCTGAGGCTTGGGTCTCCGGGCAATTCTCTGCAGAAGATGCTCAAAGGGCTCCGGCAGCTCTTCCTGAAGGACAAGAATCGGCGAGAAGACAGAGTGAGCGCCTAGTAACCAAGATAGTGCCACGCTGCTGCTGGCTGCCCAGGTGCTCATCGTGGAAGCGATTCTTCTGGAGGGAGGCGAGAAGCCTCTAGGAGTCCGGGCCCAGCCGGTTCAGCCCGTTGCGCTCTCCTCCCGCACGCCCCCAGCAGCATCCTCCAGCCTGCCCTGGCTAATTAGCAGCAGCTGGGGATCTACCCGCTTTCAGCGCTTTCCGCCCTCTTCTCCCATCCGGGAGACCCTTGCCTATTTGTAGCGCCTCCCTGTGACTTTGATTGTTGTCTGGTGTGGATTTCACAGACCCCTTATGAGCCTAAAAGAACCGAGGTGGGTGTAGGAGGGTGTGCAGTTGGGGTGGAGAAGGTGACCGCGCTTCACAAGCGAGTTGCACCGCTGGACTTTCAACAGTTTCCAAGGGGCGCACTCTCGCGCCAACATCACGAGAACCGCCTAAAAGGAAATTTAACTATCTTTCCCAGGCCCTCAAAAGTAGCGCGCGGGCAGGAGGTTACCTTTCGCCCACCTCCCCCTAGAGAGCTCCCAAACTGCTAGTCCTGGCGCCCTCTTGTGTTTCAGCCCAGCTTTTCCAAAAGTGAGAGCCTGGCGGCTGGACAGAAGCCTCCCCCCACCCAAATCCCCGTTAGTCGGGGAAGGTTTCCAGCCTTGTGAGGGTCCAGGATCAGCGGGGAGATCACCACACCTTCGGGAAAGCCTGAACAACTGGGCAGCGCAGTCGTTTGGAGGAAATTCAGACTTTGGGCGCTGGGTCCCCCGAGGGATCAAGGGGAAAGACGCGCCATAACCTCCCCGCCGCGCGCCTCCACTGTCGCGGCCGTGGTGCCCTCCAAGCTCCTGGCGCTGCGATCGCGGGGAAAGTAACAGTTCCCAAGCCCAGGAAGAAGGACGCGAACCATCCCCGGACTCAATCTCACCTTGATCTGGTCACTGTCGGACCAGTCGGACCAGTAATTTAGATCATTGTTGGCACCAATTTCTTCTGCAAACAGTTGTGTGGAGACCAGAAAAAAGACCGCCAAAGCGACGAGGATTTTCATGTTGGGTTTCTGACAAGGGTAGGGGAGGAGACACGGAGGAGAGAGATACATTTCCAAGAGTTACAGCGACCGAATTTTCTGCCTTTCCACGGAACTCGAGGTAGGACTAAGATCTCACCTGTGTGGTTTAGGAAAGAGAATCACGCCCCAAAGAGTCTTAACTCTCCTTCCCCGTCCCAGCTCCCCGGGGGGCCCCCAGTCCCCTAACCCACAACCTCAAGCCTGCCGACTCCGCAGGTGGAAGACAAAGAGGGGCGTGGGCGTTGGATCGCCGCGTCGCCCTCCCAGTACCCCTCTCCTCTCCGCCGGGCCACCCGACCGCCCGACAGACGCGCGCCTGGAGCGCGGGCGCAGCGCAGGGCGCGAACTTACTGCGGCGCGCAGGTCTGGTCTACGGCTGCAGTGCGCGCTCTTCGGGCTCCGCGCCGGCCGGGACCGCAGCGGTGCAGCAGGAGGTCCGAGCACCTTCTTAGCCTGCTCCGTGCTTCCCGGTATTTATCCCAGGCGTGACGAGCTTCGAGGCCCACGTGACACTCTCCCCACGCGACTTTCTGCTCAATATTTAATTAGCCGCCTCCTCGCCTTTCGCTTGCGTGATTGAGAGTTTCCGAGACGGGAACCCGTCGGTGCCCATAACATCTGGACCCAATTGGGTTCGAAATGACGCAGCCTTATGAAAATCGAAGTCTCGCCATCGCCATCCAATCCAGAGCAGCCTGTCTTCCTTTCTCTGTGAATCTGACGCCCCCTCCCCTCTCTTCCGAACAGAGTTCCTTGACACCTGAGATTACTCATCAGGATGGAGCAAAGTGACTCATTCCTCGGACTTTGACAACTTTTCTGTTTCTTGAGACATCAGGATAAGTTGCACTTTTGAGGACAGCTACATAACTTCCGGCATTAAGACGGTGTCCTAGGAAGTCAGGCCAAGAAAGGAGAGCTTCAAGTCCTCCCTCTTTTCCCGCCCCCCTCTTTTTTTTTTTTTTTTCCATCTTTTGAATGTCTGAAAAACAGCATCTTTCTGTGACTAGAGCATCCTTCTCTTAAATCACTAGAATACTGGCATTTCTTCAGTGTTACAAAAGGATTTTCAGCCTCATACAATTTCAGAGAATGGAAACATTATTTTACATTTGGGAGAAAGGGGAATTTAAGTATGGCCTTGCAGGTAGATCATAGTCTTGGGCCAGTGCCATTTGGAGATACATTTTTCCCCCCAAAAGTCCTCTTTCTTGCCACACCCAAGAGCAGGGATTGGAAGGGGGGCTTTTGACTTCTTTCCTACCTGTTCTGCTAATGATCCCAAAATCAGAAAGATAATATTGCAGAATACTCATCGATGTCACTAAAGGACCCTGCAGATGAGTCATGGATTTCTCCTGTGCAGAACACTAAGTGTAGGGAAGATGAACATGGGGTGTCATTAGCTGAACAGGATTACTAGACAAATAATGTGTGTCTAATAACACGATAATATCTTTCAATCTACATGAATCACATGATTCTGGCATCTTGGGTGGAGCTGTTTTCTCTTAGTGTTATAATTTTTAATTATAATTCTTACATAGTATATAAAGGAAAAACATTTTTTATACCTCGGTTAGAACTTTAACATTTACCTCTCTAATATGTGTTCTTTCTTTCCACTGAATTTTGAAAGTCATGTGTCTTTTATTTAGATTTACTGTAACCATGTAATTTGTTTCCAAAATTTTTGTTTGGCAAATTATAAGTACAAAAGTAGAAAAAATCATGCACTTGAAACAATTAGCAAATTTCATCTACAATCATTCCTATTTCTCCTCCTCAGAAATATTTTCAAGCAAATTCCAGATATTTCATCATTGAGAGTAAGTATAGATATTACAGTCTTTCTACCTTGAAGGTAAAGTTTTTTTTTTTTTTTTTTTTTTTGGCACGCAAATGTTTTTTATGTTTAATTTTTATTAGTACATGTTTGCAGTGTATAATAATTACATTTATTGTGGTGAATTGATACATTTACACAAAACATCTTAATTCTTTTTTCCCTTTCTCTCCACTAATTTTTCTTCTTAATTTTTTTGTCAGCATCAAATTCATTCATTTTAAAGATCTTATCAAATTAATTATAAGTACAGATTAGCAGCCAAGCCAGTAGGCCAATAAACATAAAACACAGAATAGAACTATAAACAATCAAAGTAGATCCATTGTTTGTGATGAATTACTGTAACTTTATCTCTTAATTTTTTTTATTCTTTGTTTTTCACTTTATTTATACATTGGTTTTCTCATATAAGAGAAATCATACAATATTTAAGCTTGTGTGTCTGATTTATTTCACTTAACATTGTGATTTCAAGGTGCATCCATTTTCCTACAAATGACTCAGGTTTGTCCTTCTTTATGGCAGAGCAGTACTCATTTCCTTTCTTCCATTCATCTGATGATGGATATAAAAGCTGCTTCTAAGACTTAGCTATTATAAATCATGCTACAATAAGCATTGTTACATAACTGCCACTGTGATATGATGTCTTTAACTTTTTTGGGAAGATATCTAGAAATGGAATAGACCTTGATTCTTCCTCTAAGAAGTCCTCATTTCCTCTAAATTAGAAATGATAATTAGAGATCATTATCTGATCATTGTGGGTATACACTGGCATTACATTATTCATTGCTTCAAGACCTTTCAATGGCTAGAACCAAGAAACAAGTGTGGCCGTGTGTGTGTGTGTGTGTGTGTGTGTGTGTGTGTGTGTGTCTGCATATTTGTTTAAGATTATGATTTTATACTTGTATTTTCTGTTTGAATCAGGATGCCATAAAATATTTAATTCTATTCTGTGTCTTTTTAAAAAAAATTGGTATCAGGGATCAAACTCATGACCGCGTGCTTGCAGGGCAGGTGCTTATGCCACTGAGCTAAATCCCCAGCCCTGTATCCTTCTTTCTATATCAAGAAATTCCAGTTCCCAGTGACATGAGCATGACCATTGATTTACTGTATCACAGTACACAAAGTTAACATGATCAATTGCATCATTATTGGAAACAGATTAAAAGTTATTCATGTTTTTTTTGTCTTTGGAGCATTTCATACTAGGTGTGCTAAGTCAAATTACTGTGACATAAAAATAATTTTTTAAATTTCATTATCTATCTACATCACCAACTTTTGTACAGATAGACTCATTTGTTTATTTTGCTCGAGCTTTAGAAATTTCTCTTTAAACTTAATTTTAGAATTGCATAAAATGTATTATTCTTAAATATATGAATCTTAATGCTTAAATACTAAAAATATATTTGAATAATTATAGCTTCAGTCTTTGACTCTTTACTCTCTTCCTCCTAGTAACTATTTCTTTTTAAGATATTCTTTATCCTTTGTTAGAGTTTGAAAGTGATTTGTCTCCCAGTGTTTATGTGTTCAGTGCAACAGTGGGAAGTGATGAACCTTTATGAAAGTGGCTACTGGACTGCCATTAGGTCATGTGTGATGCTGTTTTAGGAAAAGATTAACATCGCTCTTGTGGGACCTGACTTACCTCACAGGAGAGAATTATAAAAGAACAAGCCTTGGTCCAAGTGGCGCTCTGCCTTCCCATCTTTTGAGTGATCCCTTGCCCTAACATGAACCGCCGTGGCAGGATACCATCTGCCACAAGATTCTTGCCAAAGCCCTACTGATACTCTTAAACTTATAAACCTAAATAAATCTTTTTTCTTTACAGTGTTATCCAGCCTCATTTGTTTTATTATAACACTGAAAAAGTCCAATAATTGTAGTGTTATTAATTATATTTTTAAAACTCTATACTGAAAATTTGGTATTTTGGATAAAATTATTTTTGTTGCTAATGTGATAATAATAAAGCCACTTTGGGACCTCTCTGCTAGCTTGATGTGACCAATACAAACTTTATTCAGATTTCTTATGTTGTAAATATGCCACAGAACATAAAATAAAGACAATTTTAGATTTAATAAACAATAATGAGATAAAAATCGATTCAAGAATACATTTCCTGCTTTTTCCATGTAATCCATTATTTTCTTAATTCTCTTAGTAATATCTTGTGCTTCCTGATGCACCTTCTCCTTTGCTATAGTAAGATTGCATAAAATCACATTTTTTATTACTTGTTTTATTTCCTAGAATATCAAATTTGTAAAGATATATATATATTAGTAAAGTATAGTTATATATATATATATATAATACATGGGTTCCTGATGCATGCTGAATTCATGAATAGAATAAACACAGTTTTTTTTTGCAAATTTCAAATATACAAAAAATATAAAAAATTATCATTGTCATATTTTTATGACTGGAAAATAAATCACTGTTACCATCTTATTCTACAACTTTCAAATTTTAAAGGGAAAAAGTTATTATTTTTGTAAATGAGGGCCTATTCTATAAATAATGAAGCAGTGCAGAAAAGCACACTAATGTATTTTTTTTATAAAAATTTCTCTGCCTAGTATGTGTGAGGACTGATTCCCATCACCAAAAAATATGCATAATATTAAAAACTTTAACCTAACTCAGAAATGGCAACTCCCAGCATTAAGTGGACATCATTGTGAACAGTTTCTATGCTAATTATATAATTGGAAATATAAGGCAAAAGATAAAACATTGTAAATGCAAGATGAGACCCTATTGAATATTTTTAAAGAGAAGTAGCTATTTATACTTTTATACTTTATTTGGCTTTGTAGAAGAAAAACACAATTAAAATGAAAAATGTTTATTTTGCCAGCACCTGCCTGCAAGGGTCAGATCCTGAGTTCCGTTCCTGGTACAAAAAAAAAAAAAAAAAAAAAAAAAAAAAAAAAAAAAAAAGAAAAATGTTTGTTCACTACATATTTTTTTAAATTTTACAGAGAATAAACAAAATAAAACAAAACAGAATAAAGTAATCAGAACAGAGCTTCAAAACAAGACAACAGGAAATGAACAATGGTTACTATAATGTCCCATTTTCTTCAAAATAGTTGTGCACACATTCACACATAATAAAATCCAACAAAAAACAACAAAACCAATCAAAACAAAAGAATGAAAGCATTACAGGACTTCAAAACAAGGTAACAGGAAATCAAAAATGGCTACTATAATGTTTCTTGTTTTCTTCAAAGCAGCTGTCCTTATCTTCATAATAAAATCAAATGAAACAAAACAGACCAAAACCAATCAAAACAAAAGAAGAAAAGCATTACAGACCCTCAAAACAAGATAATAGAAAATCAACAATAGTTGCCATAATACATCCTGCCAATCTCAAAATAGCTGTCCATACCATCAGACACAGCAAAATCTAACAAAATAAGATGGAACAAAGTCAAATCCAACAAAATCATGAAAATTATAAAAGAATTCAAGACAAGATAATAGGAAATTAACAGTGGTTACTACTTTCCTTTTTCAGGTGTTTCCTCCCCTATCAATTTCAAAATATCTATTGTACTTTTTGGATCTCACTAACTCCTTCTGTTTTCATGCTAGTGAGATAACTCAGTGTTCACCTGTATGAGTCCAAACTATTTTACCCATGAACATGATCTCCATTTGTATCCATTTATCTACAAGAGCCTCGAGGTTATTCTACCTTATAACTGAACATCTTTCCATTGTATGAAAACACCATGTCTTCCTTATGCATTCTGTGATTGAT